ACTGCTCTGTTGCTGCACGAGCAGCCAGCATTCACAGGACAGGAATGGTCTATACCCTCAGGTCTCACCATTCCCATATGCTCTGCCTCACCTGGCAGATGAAAGCTCTTGGGGACAGGGCCAGTCCTCCCACACAGTCCCTGCAAGCAAGGGTCAGCTTTTCACAAAGGGCTCCTAGACACCAGGAGACAGAAAGCATCGTCATCGTGCTTTCGAAAGGTCCCTACCACATTATGGTTTAGCTTCGACAGCCACCAAGTTTGGTGTTTGGACTGAACCATTCTCAGAGTTCAAGATGGATCTAAGCACAGCCACACTTCAGGACCAACAAGCGGCCTCTCCTTGCTTGGTTGTACAGCAAAGGAGCTGCATAGGAAAGGATCTGTCCCATTCCCCCTACACCCAGGAGAACAACATGAGCTCCACCACAGACCGAGGTGCCAAAAGCACTCTTAGAGGTAGTCTAGCTCTGGTAGCAATGCAACTTCTCTACACAAGAGAGGACACATTGATCAAGCTGAAAGAGAAGCCTAGCTCCAGCCTTTTGGGGCCCAAATTCCAGGACCACAGTGATAAAATGGAAGAGAGAAGGGTAGCACAGCCTCTCCTGCTCTTCTCTCAGCAAAAGGAGCACTCAGTACCTAACACCATAAAGCAAAGAAGGCCTCTGGCGGAGAAAAAAAGATCCTTGGGACTATGAAAACAAAAGCACACACTGCACTCAGCATAAGCCTGGCGCACAGAGGACATGCTCCCCAACATCCATTTGTTGGAGGCAAGAGCCTACAGCTCTGCTCAGGCAGGCCTTTGCTTTGGTGCATCTAGCCGTCCTGTGGTTAGACAACGGGAAGACAGACACACTTCACCCCACAGTGGCTCAACTGCATGCTCAGTACACTTCCATATATTTCATCACCTCTCATCTGCATAAAGAAAGAGGGAAGAGGAGAGAGTCAGGGAGAGGTGGATGTCTTTACACTGAAGAGGCATTTAGGACAGGAAGCCTTTAGCAATCCACTCCTGAGCTGACTAAAAGCAACATTCCCCTTCTGGGCAGCGAGGGCTACAAAGAGCAACCCTGGAAATACTCTTCAAAACTCAAAAACAACCAGCCAGCTTTTCCAGTCTTAGTTTATTCCATACCATCCAGCCCTGGATCAAGAGTTTAGTCCTCACTAGGTATTGCTACAGATGCGTTCAACAGAAAACAGGGCTCCAGCACGTGTGAGGATACTGTTCAGGCAGACCGCTGTGCCCTCCAGCTGGAGTGGAGCCAGGCAGTCTAGGACAAGTGTGACCTACTTGCTTCAAGTTCTCCAATTTCACTGTTGATTTGCATGTGTCCTAGAAATGGAGGCCTATGGACCAAACTGAGATGATGAGAGAGAACCACAGTCTTGGAAATCCGTTCTTTCTAAAAGAATTACATTTATCTTCTTCTCCTAGCCACCCTTTGCCTCCCAAATGCATCTCTGGGGTTCAGATGGTTACTCTGCTCTTCCCCAAGCTGATGTGACATGACACCACTACTTTGGGGTTACAAGGACTGAAAACCCAAGAATTTTCACAGGACAAGTCCGCAGCAGACTGATAAACTGCAGGCTGAGATGCACAAATAAAACATGACAGAACCCTGCAGGGGCATGAGACTAGTTCCACACACAGCTTAAGCCAAAGACAGGACAGATCCCATCCCTCCACATGCACACCACTGTTTCCATAAGGTGTGCAAGTCCCCAGCTGAGCTGACTGCACAGACAGAAGCAGTAGCACCCACAGAGGGGTGGTGGTGGAAACACGCAGCTTCTGGAAAGTCTCTCCCAACAGAGGCCCACACTAACAAGCTTGAGCCAACTACCTGCCACTTCTCAGCTGGCCATTTCACAGCCTCATTACACAGCTAGAAGGTAACACGTCCTGCTGCTGGATTTCACCGTACCAATCACCTTTGTAACATCGGCAGGTCAGAAAGAAATTGGTTTCCTATACTGTTGCTGTGGAAGCATGAGGAATATTAGTAATATTAGGTTCGTGAACACAGACTTGAAGGTAAAGAAATTCCTGTTTCTAAAGAAGATGCTTTTGTGCACTTCCCAGGCTCCATACACTTTTTGCAGCACAGAGCATTGCAGACCAACAGTAAAGCCTGCCAATAACCTACATTCCAGCCCCAGACTGCACTCTGCTTCTTAAGAGTGGCACCGCTGTCCAACTGCATCAACAGCTTTTTATTCTCCAGAGATGATACCAGACCTCTAACAGGCTACCACGGCTTTTAGGAGCTGGAGATGGCTCACCATCCTTTTGACAATAGAAATCTGCGTGAGTGATGAGTTTGGTTATCCAAGACAGACTGCGCTCAAGAACAGATTCACGCTCACACCACTGAAGCAGAGGAAAGCAGCTTCAAGTCCTTCACTGACACCTTGTGTCAGAAGGAGGAATTGGCTACAACAGAGAGGGCCACGCAGGCTCCAAGCAATATCCAGCACAGGTGTACAGCACACAAGGACCTCTGGCTGAGAAACAACCAAAGCGCCAGGATTTTTGGAGCTGAAAGAAGGAATTAAACATATTATTGCCAAGGGTTTCAAGAGAAAGCTTAAGCCAAAACAGCTCTCACATCCTCCCCTCAATCCTGGTCATGTTTTCCTGCCTCTTCTTAAAGCCAGCTCAGGAGCCTGCCTGACCACAGAGAGTCTATTTGGCGCTCTATTTCTGACTCATCAAGAAGCAAGAGCTCGAATCGGCTTACTTTGTGATCAGACAAGCAGAGACAACACAGGATCACACAGAAAAGCATGATCTCCTCCTTCCTGTAGCACTAAGCTGTCAGCCCAAGTCCTGAAGCAGAAAAGTCGATTCCTTTGTGCTTCCAGACCGATCCAAGCACACAAGAGGCAGCAGCACTTCAGACCTGGAAGCACAACATCCTCCAAGCAATGTCAATACCAGTAACCAGTCAATACCCGATTCCCAGGACCAGCCCCAGAACAGCCTTGGTCCTTCAGGATTTCTCCATGGCCAAGGCGATCATTCGCTCCAGGACTGGGACTAACTGCAGAGCCAGACTCGCATGCAAGAGGCAGCAGCAAAGACAAAACAGAAACAGCAGAGAAGAATGTATGAGTATTTTATGCCCGAGTACTTATTTTGGCTGCTAATAAGCTAGCCACTGCCTGGATTTAGTGCAGACAAGCATCTGGAAGAGAAAGAACACAGGTTAAAAGTCTGTGGAGCACAGAAAACAGGTACTGAAATGGAAAAATTGGAACTAAAGGGACAGAAGAAAGAGATGGTCTGATCACAGACCTATATAAGTGATCAAGAGCAATGTTCCTTTGAAGGAAAATCCCTCTACAAGAGCACACTAGACAGGGGCACAGAAAGCCAAGTGGAGGAGGAACGAGATTGGCAGTGAACTTGGAACAGCCTTCAGGCTCTGAATGAAGTTTGACAAGGAGCACAGCAGCAGCCACCACCAGAGAGCTGTCAGGGACAGGACAGTAACAATACCAAGACAAACACATGGGAACTCTAAACTGACACATTCCAAATGCAGAAAACACCACTCCAAGGGAGAGCTAAGTTTACGCAACTTGGTTCAGAAGGCAAGGAAAGGAGGAAAAAAAGAGAAGCTATAAGTACAGAAAGATTCCAAAGAGCAAGTTGTCTGTAGGGAAGGTGATAAAGTGATAGTTTAGGGCATGCCGAGACTTCTGACTAGCAAGAGAGCAGGAATATCTCCCACCGCCCTCTTTCAGGCCCTGGGCTCCATAGCAAGAATAACAGAGACTGCTGCAAGCAAAGAGCTGCAAAAAAGTCTAGCTGAAAAGGGGCTTCTGTCCTAAGTAAAAATAGACTAGCTATTTTTAAGGTAGAGACTGAGGCACATCACAGCACTGTTCCCATTCTGTTAACATTTGAGCGAACAGCTCCAGGTAACTCGCATCCAGGGTTCAGCTGGCCAAGGATCCCTCTAGGTAGTCAATATTAATGTCAATCACTCAGCAACTATCATCAAGATAAAGCTGATGATTAACTAGCATTTTTAGAAGAAAGAATGATCCAATAATTATAGTCCCATTGACCAAAACAACCAACATCTCTAGATACATATGTTTCCAGCCTATTTCATTAGAAACCTGGTTTTGATCTTTGTGATTTGTGATCCACATTCTGGACACCAATGATTGAAAACTGTTAAGCAGGTCACTGATAGAGAGGAACAGTTGAGCACTGACTAATTAAGAGGATGAGCTGACCACAGGTTATGAGCATCACAAAGCAAAACCTTCACAGCCCTCCAGGTTTGTACCTGGAGGATCTAGCTCTAGAAAAAGGCAATAGCTGGAAGTCAGAATTAGCCTCAAAAGAGAACTCCAGATTACAGGTGAAGGGTAATTTACTGGTGAGTTACTAAGATCTGCACCAGATTTTTTCCACTAGCAATCCTTCAATAACAGCACATACTTTCCTAAATGACCCAATCTCCTCAAAAACTGATCACGGGTATCAGGGATTAAGTTAGATTACCCCAATAATCTTACTGCTGTCCTTAAAAAGGTTTCCTGTGCCGCCTGCCATTTAGGAAGTGAAAGCACAAAGCAAGACTCATCAGCAAAGCCTGACAAACCTGCCAGGCTCCCAACAACCACAGGACACACATCACAGCTATACAACCACCTCAAGAAAGCACTGGGAGCTGAAGCTTCCTTAAACTGCCGTATCAGCTGTTGCAATCACACGGCCAGGCTGACCGGGAAACTGAGTCAGCTGAGCTTGGAGGGAGCAGCCGGAGAGGGGGGGGAGGACCAAGTGCCTGCTCAACCAAGGAGTGAAGAGGGGACCGCGCCTCAAAAACGCCGCTGTCGACTCTTTTCCCCACTGCCACGCAGCCCCTCGCCACCCCGCCACCCTCACACCAGCCGGGCCTTCCCCTCAGTATGGGGGGGTGGAGGTGGTGTCCCCGCCCGCCTCAGAGCCCCGCCACCACTCACCTTCCAGGCTCTCACACTGCACCAGGTTCACGTAGTCACCTTGCCGGAGTACCCCCGCCTTAAAACCGCGTACCAACCCTTCCAGGTAGCCGTTATCCACGTTAAAATACAGCTCGGGGAAAGACGACATGGCGGCGAGCGACAAGACGGGCGAAATACCCCGACGTCTCACGTGACCCGCCTGGCGCCCACGTGATGCCGCGCGCACGGGGCCCCGCCCCCTTCCCGGCAGGCAGTGCGAGGGCGGGAAGCGGCTGAGAAGATGGAGGTTAGGAGCGGGATGGCAGCAGCGGGGAACCTGCGTGGCCCCGGGACCGCCGTTCCCGCGGACCTCGGCTCCCCTAGCGCCACATTGCCCTGTGAGCCCTACTCCATCCCCTCCACAACCATGTCCTCACCAAGCACTAGGCCTGATGTTCGCCTCCAGCACGCCTGAAAGCCCGTCTGTGGGTTTTTAGGGCTTTTCACAGCCTCCACGGACGTGTTTTCCCCCCTGAGTGTGCCCGGTGGCATATGGGTTTAGTGGTGGAGGAGGTGATGGTCTGCTCTGGCTGCATCCGTATCGCAGGTATCCCCTTTGTCACTGATTCCTTGGGGCTGACGGCTTGCAGGTTCCCTGGGTGTAAAGCACCCAGAGCCACCATGAGCGATACTGGCAGGAGAAGAACACAAGTAAAGCTCCCAGCGCAGCCAAAATGTCATCTCCTGGGGCACCCATCCTGCTGAGAGACCACTCATCTAGCCAGGAAGGGCCCTGCAGGAGCTGCTCTGGAAAAAAAAAAAAGTCATTTTGTTTGACATGAAGGTGCCCTGGGCTCTTGGCTGTGTGAACATGGTGCTCACCTGGGTGCAGGTACTGGCACCTTGCTGCTACCCCTCTCCCCTGAGATCCCAAGCGGACACATTGAACCATTCCCACTCAGCAATAGCTTTTGCTAACGGCTGGTTTATTAGAGCTGCAGAGGAGGAGGCAGCACATATGGGCAAGGAGCAAGAAGCCCCACAACACGGGTGCTAGTTCTTGCCGCAGGGGAAACTGCTGCTGATTTTCCTGCAGTAGCAAAAAGCGTTGAAGAAGCGGCAGTAGCAAGTGGCACAGGGGTCACAGCAGGGGACCTGATGCCCAAGGCAGGATTCCAGGAGGCGGACGCAGCGGCGGGGGGAACGCTCTTCACGGCCTGCAGCTTGCAGTTCTGTGGACGATGACTGCTGGAGAGAGAGGAGGAAGACGAGGGAAAGAGTTGGTGCTGGACCACTGTGCCAGCAATAAAGAACTGCATGGGAGAAAGCCAAGGGTCGTTGCTAAAACCTTCCACTGCTAGCAGCAGAGAGCTCTGTCATGCTCAGCTCCAGGCTTGATCTGTTGGAAATCACCACTGAGCCCTCTGCGGGCGTCACTGACTCATCCACCATATCTCAAGGCCTTTTGCACACAATTATTTTGAAGCTCAGCCTCGCCTTTAGTGAAGGGTGCCTTGCCTTCTGCCTGAACAGAGGCACCTGCGTCTGAGCGAGGCAAGATGTGGCACTGTCTGGTGAGCTCCTGCTCTGCAGAGGCTTCCTGGGCTGTGCTTGAGGTTAATTAAATGTGTTGCAGGAGTGCGGGCTTGGACCACCCTCCTTTGAGTGCTGGAGCCTCTTGCAGCCTTGGGCAGCCTCTGCTCGTCCCAGCCCTGGCTGTTCCCCAGCAGGTGACAAACAGATAGTCCCTTCCCAGGCAACGCCATTTTGGGCTCCAACCCATCCCTGGCCCCACAGGCACAGAAAAGGCTGCTGTGGCCTGAGGCCACCCTGCTCATTGGGGTGTCTTTAAGAAAGCTCAGGGAGTGTTACCTGCGGTTCCAGCGTGCTGCCTCTCTGCACAAGGTCACCGTCAGCTTCTGGGACCTCCACGGCCATCTGCTCAAGCCCCAGCCTGGGGAGAGCTCCTGCGAGATACAGAGAGGCTGGACAAGGAGGCTGCTGGTGGGGGTCAGCTCTGATTCTGGTCCCCATGGTCATGTCCTCCCACAAAAAAAGCCCCCCCACTCCCTGTGGGCTGCCAGGCTGCTCTCACTAGCCAGTGACAGGAGAAGCTGTGCTGCTTTAAGGGGATCCCCTGCATCTGACCCTGGGTGGGGGGTCCCCACTTCCATTTTGGGGCTCTGGGCATGCCAGCGAGTGGCTGCTGGGGGACAGCAGGAGACCAAGGGGGCCACAGGACTTACCCACCGGCTCCGCAGACACTTCCTTGACTTTCCGTAGCAGGCCAGAGTAGCGGGTTCTGTCCGCCCCCTCCAGCCCACCGCTCACCTTCTGCAGGTGGCCACAGCTGAGGTCGGTGGTGAGGATGGCCTGGATCCCCTGCAGTAGCCCGCAGCACAGCAGCAGCACGTTCAGCATGGTCCTGGGGGACAACCTGCACAGAGGGGTCCCAGCCAGCATCAGCTCACCCGCTGGCAGCCTGGCCTGGCCCCCCTCTCCATGCTGCCACTGTCACCCCCCGAGCAGTGCCGCGTTGGTGAGGGGTAGCCTCTGCCAGCACAGCCACCACGCCGGGCTGTTTGTTTTCTTGGACTTGAGAGCATTTCTTGGGCCACCACACACCTGGGAGCTTCACCTGGACCCTCCAGAGCTAAAGCATGTGCCGTGGTGCTGTGGGGCACCCCACGTGCAGGCACATTCATGACCTCACTGCAGAGGGGGTGAGTAGCAGAGGATGGACTGAGACTTGATCTTTTTTTGCAGCGCTTCAGGGTCTCCCTGCCCTACGCACAGCCTTCAGCAGCCACCAGACCATTGTGGTGCTGTGCATTCACTGCCTGTATGTTCCTGGGATGTAGCCAAAACATCCGACACGGCTCCTGCCAGGCACTTGCACTCACAGGATGTGGAAATGCCACTAGTTTTAAAGACCAGAAGTTAATATTTACCACCTGGCCTGCATCTGGGCTTGGACATGCGACCAGGACCTTGCAGACAACAGCCAGCACTGGGATCTCACAAGGTCCCCAAGTACCAACCCAGAGGCAGCTGTGTAACCACCAGCAGCTCCACCCTGTGCCCTTTTCGACGGCAGTGCTGAGGACAGCAGCACTCATGGCCCAACACTTCCCTGTTTCTTGCCCAGCTCCTCTGTAAGGCCTCCCTCTCCCAGTCCTGTTTTCTCCCCCTGCTCTCAAGCAGGCAGCCCTTGAGCCACGTTTCCGCACCCAGCCTTACGAGCAGGTTTGCAACATGGCAGGCAGGAACCCCGGGGAATGGGCAGGAGTGACATTGCGTGGCTGAAAGACGAGAGACCTCCTGCACATCGCAGCTGGAGCAGCTGCAACAGAAATCTCCCTGAAAGTCCCTGGGAAATGACAAACTGCTTTGCTACAACTCCTTTTGCAATTAAACCACAGGGTTTGGGCACAATACACAGACGTGGGGCTTTAAGAAGATAAAATGTAAGATAAAGTAAGGCACGGATGCAGTTTTGCTTAAGGACTGCAGCGACGGGTTGGACATCACGGCCAAGACCCTCACAGGGGGCTCCAGCCCCTCTGTGCCAGCCAGTTACCTGAAAAACCCACTGACACTCAGCTGCACAGCTTCTCTGTGGGAAGCGTTTGGATGCAAAGCCCCCTCTGCCTGGACATGGACACCATCATCTGGAGATGTCCCCGCAGTTGGACCAGCCCGGGGTTTTCACCTGCCCCCAGCGCAGGGTTTGTTTCCCCCTCCACACTCATGGGGGGATCCAACAGAAGAGAGGAAGGTGAAGGTGAAGCTGTAATGGTGAGAAGAGGGCGAGGCTGGGCTGGAGGCGGTTCAGCAGGGAGGAGGACTGCACCAGGCACAGCTGGGGAAGGACTGGGCAAGCTGACCTGGGTGAAAGCAGACACTGCAGGGTCAGGCTGTAGGCTTTGGGGGCTTGAAAGCTGTAAAAAGCAGGGGGGCTCTTAGGAAGTGAAAGAAAAGGGCTGGTAGGGGGACCCCCAGTTGCTGCCGGCAGCTGAGTCCCATAAACCCAGCGCCTGCTGCTTTGGCAGCCTTGGGACTCCAGCCCTGGCTCCGGCAGCCCAAAGCTGTGCTGACTTCTCCTCACCTCCCCATCCCTGCAAAACCACCTAGCTTTTTGCTGGGAGAGACCCCTCCATGTTGTGGGGAGTCCCACAGCCATGGGTATCACACCCCCAATGCCCCCAGACCCTTCCCATTGTAAGCACTGACCTCTCCAAGCAGAGAGGCGACTTGCTGCTCACCGCTCCACCAAGCTTGCTGGGAGTGCCGCTACTGCTCTCTGCCTTGATGTCCTCCTCCCCACATGCTTACTGGAATTTATATTGGCTTTTTATTAATTAAGTGCTGCAGCCACATGACTCTGCTAACTACCAGGTAGGTGGGCTTCTCTGGAAACCGGGCTTTGTCTGGAAGGAGAGGCAGCCAGCGGGGCGATGCGCGGGAGGGAGGACTCCTTCTCTGTGCCCCGCATGGCTGCAGGGAGGAACAGATCCCCACTGGCCCCAAACTCCCAAGTTTCTTGGGAGGGATCCCCAGTGCCCTTCCAGGTCCCTTCCCTTTCCAGCCATGCCTGAGCAGTGCTGAGGCTGCAGCCTGAGGACATCTAGTTCCCCACTAGAGAAATACCAGGGCTACAGGCTCCTCGCCAAAGACACGCCGAGATCTCTACCAGTTTTCAAAGGGAATGTTGCCCACCCATAGCTCCTGGCAGGCACCCAGCCATAGTCCATAGCCTCCAGAAGTCCTCCAACTCCTGACCACTCGCCATCTGCAGATTCCTCAGGCTCCCATGTGCTAACTGCACCTCTCATTCATGTATCCTTTGGAAAACCCACAGTTGCTCAGAGCCAGGTGTTCTCAGAGGAGCTCCCTTGCGCATCCCAGGCTCGACTCCACTGTGAGAAGGAAGGAACCAGCTGCTCGGTTCTCCCCAGCCCTGATGCTGGCTTTCACAGCCATTGTATGTGGTTCCTTGGGCTTCTCGGTGCAGAGACCTTCAAGGGCCACTCCAAAACCCAAAGGGAGCTGCAGCCAGCCCGATGCAGCCTCAGTCATGGGGCCAGGCACTGGTGGAGATGGCGTCTCTGCAGTCTCTCACTGGCCAGGGCTGCAGCGGACGTGCATTATGGATGCAGCATCCCAGCACACCACGTGCCTGTTCTTGCTTTTTCAACTGAGGGCTTCAAAGCAGGGTTGGCATGTGTACAACAGGCAATTGTGCAAAGGGATATGGACCAGCAGCTCGGGTGCAGCACCCAGCACCCCATCAGGAGAAGGACCCCACCCTGACATGCATGGGCCTTTCACTAGTGGAGAAGAACCAGGAACAGAGGGTCAGCCAAAAGAGGTGGTGGGAGATGCTGCTCATGGAGCCTCCACAGTCCCCTCCTGTACTGACAGCAGCAGATCTGAGAGCTGTTTCCTAGAAACCTCAGTGCCAGAAGCCAGACAGGAATCACCTTCCCATTTAAATCCCCAGATGTACACACAGGGTGGCTAACTGCCCAGACACCCAGCATCCCAGGGGCTTCCAACTCCTCTGCTTCCTCCTCAGCATCTCCCTCCACCAGCCTACAGCCTGCCCACTCCCAGGTCAGCAGCTCAGCTGGGCTCCTTTTGGAAATGCCCGAGTCTTTGGGTGGCTTCAGGCCTGCAAGAAATGGGGGGATAAGACATGAGAGGGGTTCAGTGGGCTGTGATGTACCCAGCAGGGAAGGCTGATGGCCCAGGCTCTGCCCTTGCCAGGCTGCTCCCACACTCTGCACGACCAGGGAGGACCCCCCAGGTCTCCCAGCACGTCTCCAGCAGAGCGTGAGCCACCACTTCTGGTGGCAGTGCCAGCCCTGGGGCTCTTTGCAGGCCCCCCTCTGCCCCCTGCGCACACCCTGTCTTGGCACCACCTGAGGGCCTGGCTGGCTCGGAGGGGACGGGGCATGGGACTGGTGAAGGGCTCGTCTGCCGTGCCCCTTCTCCTCTGGGTGCAGGCACCTGCTGGAAACACTCAGCACCCAGCTGGGTCCCCCATGCACAGCACCCAGTCAGGACCCCCCTGCACAGCACCCAGCAGCCTCCTGCACCCCACATGCCTGGATAAAGACTCATCTTGTGTTAGAGGAGGGTTTGGTAGCCTCCCTCTTTCCATTCCCAGTCCCATTCCCGAAGCCCCATCCAGATCCATTCCTGTGGCAGGAGCTGCTGGCAGCTTGATCCTCCCGGCAGCTCCATCCCCAGCCCCGGGGGGATCGTGTCCCCAGCCTGCTCTGCCCCCGGCCCCCACCTGACACCAGCCCCCGAGCGGGGCCCTCAGCCCAACTCATTAGGGCCTGTTTGCAGCCTGCGAGGCCGCGGGCGAAGGACTTCTGGGAAGGCATTAGCGGTAATGAGGGCGGCCGCGCTGAGAGCTTTTTAATCTGCAGGAGCAACGTCTGCTTTGTGCGCATCCCTACGGCCAGTAACGAGCTAAATGAGGCAGCCGGCCGCTCGCCGGGCCACTTCCAGGAAAAAGAAGGCTCACAGTGGAGGGGAACGGGGGGGCCGCGCCTGCGCCCCCGGCCCCGGCTCGGTGCTCCTTGCGCTCAGCGAGGGTGGGAGCGGGCGATGGAGCGGGTCGGCGGCACGGCAGAGATGCCCGTCAGCAGGCACTCTGGGCAGGAGGGCAGCAGGGCGGGTGCCCGTCCCATGGCGGGACCCTCGGGAGACAAGCCGGGGCAGGGGGCTTTTCCTCTCTTCCTGGAAGCGGCCTGGCAGGCGGGCGGCTCATTTAGCTCGTTACCGGCCCTCGTCACCACTAATGCCAACCCGGTCCCCGCCACCGCAAATGGGCACTAATGAGCCAGGCTGAGGGCCCCTCTCGGGGGCTGCCGTCAGCCGGCGGGGGGGCGGACAGCGCTACCAGGGGCCTCCTCTTCGGAAGGTGCGATGAGCATCGCCCCGGCCTCAGCCCCGGCGGGCGGTGGACGGGGCCCTTTAAGGCGCGAGCCCGGAGCCGCCCTGACGTCAGCGGGGCGGGCGCGCCCGGGCAGCCGCAGCCCCGGCGGCCCCAGCTCCGCCGTCCCGGTGCGTGGGGCTCCGCCGGGACGCAGCCCGGGGGGCCTCGGGGTGATGGGGGCCTGGAGGTGGGGCATGGGGGTGTCCAGGGTGCTGGGGAGTGGAGGTGAGGGTCTTGGGGTCCCCATGGTGCTGGGGTCGTGGGGATCTGGAGGTGGGGTATGGGGGAACCCAGAGTGATGGGGGATTGGAGGTGAGGTATTGGGGTGCCTAAGGTGCTGGGGACCTGGGGGTGAGGGTATTAGGCTACCCAGGGTGCTGGAGACCTGGAAGTAGGGGTATTGGGGTACACAGGGTACTGGGGACCTGGACATGGGGGTGTCGGGTTGCCCTAGGGTGCTGAGAAGTGGTGGTGGGAGTATTTGGATGTCCAGGGTGCTGGGGACTGGAGGTGGGGTCATAGATGGGTGCCCAGGTCCTGGGATGCTGGGGACTGGGAGGTGGGGTGTCGGGGGTGCCCAGGGTGCTGGGGACTCTGATGTGCTGGGGATCCTGGTGTCCACAGTGCTGGGAGACCTGGTATTTGGGGGTGCCCCATCCCCCACACCACATTGCTCAGCAGCTCCCCCATCCCACAGCGCCCAATGCCCGTCCCCGCCTGACGCCGCCACCATGGCCGGGTCGCAGGGCTGCGGCGAGGGGAAGATCGCGGGGCTGTATGACCTGGAGCGCACGCTGGGCAAGGGCCACTTTGCGGTGGTGAAGCTGGCGCGGCACGTCTTCACCGGGCAGCGGGTGGCCGTCAAGGTGATCGACAAGAGCAAGCTGGCAGGGGAGGCAGCGGGGCAGCTCCTGCAAGAGGTGCGCTGCATGAAGCTGGTCCAGCACCCCAACGTGGTGCGCCTCTACGAGGTCATTGACACCCATGCCAAGCTCTACCTCATCCTGGAGCTGGGCGATGGTGGGGACATGTTTGACCACATCATGCGGCACGAGGGCGGGCTGGCCGAGACACGGGCCAAGCACTACTTCGCCCAGATCGTCCACGCCATCTCCTACTGCCACAAGCTCCACGTGGTGCACCGTGACCTCAAGCCCGAGAACGTGGTTTTCTTCCAGGAGCAGGGGGTGGTCAAGCTCACCGACTTCGGCTTCAGCAACCGCTTCCAACCTGGCAAGATGCTCACCACCAGCTGCGGCTCGCTGGCCTACTCGGCACCCGAGATCCTGCTCGGGGATGAGTACGATGCCCCGGCTGTCGGTAAGGGCAGTGGGGCGCAGCCACAGACCTGCCTCCCTTGTGCCCCTTGCCCGGAGCGTGGTCCTGCCTGCCGGGTACCACCTCGCTTTTGGCCCTTAGGCTGGGAGCACCCATGCCCCAGTGGCACTGCTGTTCCCACAGGGAGCAATCCTGTCCCCTTGGGTGCTCGGGTGCCCAGGCCTGCCCTGGCACAGGGTGGTTCTCACTGTGGAGACCATCCCCGCACCCACCGAGATCCCACAGAGCGATGGTTCATGCCAGGGATGGGAAAAAGCACAAGCAGGCTGCAAGCCTGACGTGGCATCCGCTGGGGCTCGGGAGGAGCAGCGCAAGGGTGCAGCCACCGGCAAGCCAGCACTAGCAGTTATTTGAGGGGGGCGATGCCGGAAGGAAACCTGCTGGGGATGCTGCTATTTGGGTGGAGGAGCTCCAAAAGTTTCCTTTGCTCCATCCCCACCCTGAAAACCACTTCCTCTCCGTGGCTCCCAGCGCCGTTCCTCCCCTGGCCAGGGTGCAGGAGGGCTGGGGAGACTGTCCTGTGGTGCAGAGAGCTGGGCTGGGGACACCGAGTGGTTCTGCTGGGACAGAGGAGATGCAAGAGGGAAGCAGGACCTGAGCCAGTGCTGCTGGAATTTGGGGCAGGAGGATTTAGCAAAACAAAACACTAGCGCTTAAAGGAAAAAGCCTAATGTTGGCTCAGGGAAAGGCGGCTCTGGAGTTGAGAATGGGAATAGCTTGTAGAAACCGTAGAAAAATAAGCTGGTGGCTCCGCAAAGAGAAATGAAGGGAGAAAACCAGCGCAGATAAAAAATTTTCAGACGCAGCACTTGACTTAAGAAGCTGAAGGTATTAACAGAGAGCCCTGGGGCGTGCTCAGCATCCTAAAAAAGTGCTTTTGTGGAGAGTAGAGTTTCTGTGCTCGTCAGGAGGAGCGGGTGAAGATGCCGCTGGCTCTGTCCCTGTCCCCAGGGCAGGGCAGCAGTCCCGCTCCAGCTGGTGCCCACGCAGCTGGAAGGCCCAGATCAGTGCTGTGTCCCTGTCGCATGGCTGTGATGTCCCCTCCGGCACAGCCCAGTGCCAGGATGGTCGTGGTGGCGTCTGTTTGGGAACTGGGAAGCTGAGTAATGACATGAAATGGTGCTGTGGGTGGGTGACTGTGGGGGACAGAGCCTGGGGCTGGCTTCCCTGTCCTCACCTCAAAAAGGGGTTAAGATCTCAACTGCTTTGGTGAAGCCCTTTGAGACCTGCTTGGATCTGGGGATGAGGAAGGTCCTTCTCTGCCTCGGTGGGGCTGTGGCCTCCCCATCTGTGGGACGTGGAACATCCATGGGGCAGGACCTGGGAGCATCCCAGTGAGCACTAGTCTCTGCTGGATAGGCACTGGGGCCTGGTGGCATGGCCCCACCTCTCTCCTGGGCCATGGTGGGTGCAACCTGAACTGCTGCTGCTTCTTGCAGACATCTGGAGCCTGGGGGTCATCCTCTACATGCTGGTGTGTGGCCACCCGCCCTTCCAGGAGGCCAATGACAGCGAGACCCTCACCATGATCATGGATTGCCGCTACACCGTCCCCCCGCACGTCTCTGCACAGTGCGCTGAGTAAGCACCTCTCTCTGCCCCAGATCCCCCTGGACCCTGATTCCCTGCCCCCGGGGGTGGATGCCTCATCCCCGGGGGAAGCCTGGGAGCTGGGGTGGGAAAGGGTGGTAAAGCTGCCATCTCTGGGGCTTGCGTGCTGCCGCAGGATTGCAGCGTCGCCCCTTTCCTCCACAGTCTCATCTCCAGGATGCTGCAGCGGGACCCGAAGCAGCGAGCCTCCCTGGAGCAGATCGAGGGCCACGCATGGCTGCAGGGGGTGGACCCGTCCCCTGCCAGCCGCTGCCTGCTGCCCCTCACCTCCCACAAGCGCATGTCCAAGGAGGAGCACGAAATCATCCTCCAGGCCATGATGTGCGGGAACATTGCAGATCGGGACACCATCCAGGAGTGAGTGATGGGGTGGGATGCTGAGGCAGGAGCCCCTGCAAAGGGCTCTAGGGGTCCCTCTGAGCACGTTCCTCACGCGTTGATATGGGTCCCTTGGTCCCACGCAGGGCACTGGAGGCTGACCGCTACAACCACATCACAGCCACATATTTCCTGCTGGCAGAGAGGATGCTGCGGGAGAAGCAGGAGAAGCAGGGCCACCGCCTCAGCCTCGTCTACAACCTGGCCAAGGAGGTACAGAGCAGGTGAGACCTCCTGCTACCCCCTGTCCCACATCTCCCTCATGCCACCCCAGATCCCCAGCACAGGGTCCCGGCCAATTCCTCGTCCCCTTTCTTGCTGCAGCCTTCACCATGCCCGGCTGGGTACCAACACCTCCATCCCTCCCCTTTTTCAGGACCAACTTATCGGACACGTTCGGCCCCATGGGCAGCAGCAGCGGCCTCTTGCCCTTTACAGAGGTGCCAGGTGGCCTCGCCGCAGGGTCCCGGCTGCCTCCCCTGCCCACCGGAGGGGACATCGGCGGCCGGCAGCCCCCGCGGACCCTGCTGAAGGTCCCCGCTGTTGACACCACCATCACCAAGAGCACCCCGGCCCTGCAGCAGATCTGCGAGGAGGAAGAGGAGGAGGAGGAGGAGGAGGAGGAGGGGAGGCCCAGTACCATGGAGAGGAAGAGCAGCTCGCTGAACCAGGAGCAGATGCGAGCCTTCCTGCACGCCCGCCGCCCACCTGGCCGCAGGGAGGTGTGGGGACCGGGGGCCGAGCTGGGGGGCTGGGGTGGGTGCCCGGGCGCGGCCTGGGCCGGGAAGGGAGTGAGTGGGGGCCGGGGTCCCCCAGCGATGCAGGGGGACAGAGCTGAGCCCCCTAGGAGGGAGGAGGACAGAGAGGCTGGGGGCTCCTCGGCAGAGCTCCCCAGGGAAAGGGGAGCCAGCCCATCACCCCGGAGCAGCTCTGCTGGGGTCCCCCAGGTGCTGGGGGCAGAGACGACCCCCACCACCCTCCCAAGCCCCACGGACAAGTCCCCGGGGCAGGGGGCACCCACCAGCCCAGCCCGGTGGCTGGTGGAGAGCTCAGGCCCCGGGGGCACCGAGGGGGGCACGGAGAGCGTGATCAAGCTGGACCCGGGCAAGAGCAAGGGGGGCAGCCTGCGGGACAGGCTCCTGCAGTTCCCGCTCTGTGAGAAAGCCCTGGCCTTCAAAATCCGGCCAGGCTCCAAGGAGAGCCTCCTCTCACTGGGGCAGTTCAACTGCTGCCACGTCATTTAAGTCCCTGGGGTGAGGGTCCAGGAGGGCGACAGCTCCCCTGCCTTTGGTCTGCTTGTGACCCGCAGAGCATGGGGCTGGCGGGGGTCACAGTGCCCCTGCTTTGTCACCTGCGGTGCCCACGCAGCTAGCACCCACCCCCGGCACCCGCTGCGACAGACCCCCTGGGATGGGACTGTCTGGGAGATGAGGTGGGTTTGGGGTCCATCCCCACCCCGGCCAGCCTGTCCCCAAACCCCTGGGGCTGCCGGGGGCAGCTCCACGGCCCCGCTGGGGCTGGATGGACCACAACACATTTTTTAACTACTAGAAATAATTTTTTTAAATAGTCTATTTTAATGTAATTAAATAGAGATTGCTATATTCCCTCCCTGGGACGGCTCCCTCCCCAGCCCTGCAGCATGCACGGCCCCAGGGCCAGGCTGTCTTGCCCACGGCGGCCGTGGGGCAACCATTTGTCTGCCTGCAGCGTGTCACCCCCCCGCCCGCCCCCCCCGGGGCCCTGGCGGGGGCCAGGCGCACCCCTGCCTGTGGCTGCGCGTGACTCGAGGCTGTCCCCTGGGCCTCCCCTGCAAATAAGCTTCCTATTTATTATCTCTTTGTTTTCTTGCTGGCAAGAAATGAATGACGACTGAGGCACGGGCCAGAGCTCGGCCCGAGCTGTGTGGCAGGCGCGCAGGAGGGATCGGAGCCGCTGGGAAGCAAAGTTTATCGGGCCAATAAAATAAGCTCGTGGGTTGATGCAGGGTGCCGCGCCTCATTGCAAAAAAACACCACCGTCCTCCCACCCTGCAAAGGCCGGGGCACCAGGGGTGGCTGCCTGGGAGCATCTGCCTGAGCCAAGGTGGGGGGGTGGAGTGGTGGTGGCTGGTTTGGGGGGGCTGTGTGATGGGCACGGGGTGCAGCGGGCACAGGCTTTCCCTGCCCAGGGCTGTTTTAGCACTGCCTGGCTGGCGTGCCCAGCCACCACCGCTACGTCGCCATCCCTGTGGAGGGGGGAAAGCAGCTGCTGCCGCAGCCCCTTTTGGGGAAGAGTGAGGTCTGGGGGAACGTGGGGCGTCTGCAGGTGTTCCTTGAGGCAGACTGGGGGGGTTCAGCCTGCACCTGGCTGGGGCCCAAAATGGAGGTCTGGCGGCGGGGGGGAGGCACAGAGGGGAATAAGGACAAGGATGGGGAACACCCAAAGGTGCAAGGAGCACCCAGGGCATGCCAAAAGGCAGGCAGAGGGTACTGCACGTCCCCAGTGAGGCTCGAGGGTCAACTGCACTCAGCCGCAGGGGTGCCCCGAATAGCTCCCCACCCCCTAATCCTGGGGTGGGGCCACAGGCCACCCCTGAGCCCCCCAGTTCCCCCCCCAGTTCTCTTGTCCAGCCCTGGCTTGCCTTCCCTCCAGCTGTGCTGCGTCCCTCCCTCTTCCATCCATCCTATTTTCTCCCCCGTTCTGTATCTCCCTCCATGCGTACCCCAAATAACACCCTTGCTGGTCCCCATCATCCAGCATGGGATCCCCCTCTCTGCAGTACTGGGTGGCTGGAAGAAGAGACCGCTGCTGTGTGAGTGTCAGATGGGATGGAACCGGCATTGGAAAGATCCCTAGGGAGGTGATGGGGGGGGAAAAGAAGCAGCAGGGGGGTGAGGTGTGCCTTGGGGAGCCTGCAGCCCCCGCGGGACCGCGGCTGCAGGAAGAGGTGCTGCTCGCGGGCTCCTAAAGGATAACGCCTTCGCCTGAACAGGGGCTTGAACCCTGGACCCTCAGATTAAAAGTCTGATGCTCTCCCAGCTGAGCTATCCAGGCTCCTGCCCGCGCCTTCGGGGGATGTCCGCGACGGGCACCCGGGACCCCGCTTCCCTGCGGCGCCGGCGGGACAACGCGGGGACTCGCTTCGACCTCGTCCACCCCCGCAGCGCCCCGGGGGGGCCGCCCGCGCACGCCGGGCTCGGCGCCCGGCTTCTGGCCGCGGCCCG